TAGAAAAAAAAACAACGTGACTAAAACGAGTCCCCCTCGACACCGTTCCATTTTTATTTGAAACAATTTTGTTTACTGGATTTAGTTTTCGAGATCTTCGCTAGTGGATAAGTTAAAATAGGTCCTGTATATATATATGGGGCATTCCATGCCAAGTGGGCCACCCAATTTTTGGGCTTTCTCGTCGCAGCGCTCTTTTCGCTTGTCATTAGTGGGCATAAGAGGCAAGTTTGAAAATGAAATGTTGAAGTTACCTTATAGAAAATTGAACGCTCTTTCACGTAAGAATACTCTTTTTTCGATCAGACCGGTTTAAGACGATGTTTGTCAGTTTTGAAGTTTTCAAAATGGTGGCGCGCCTAAAAGATCAGTCTCAATTTTCTTTTAATATAGCTCAAAATGTAGCTCCAGGTCTCTACTTTGTTACTCTAAAAGGACTTAATGGGACACGCATTCGTTTGGAAGTAAGAGCTAGGAAAGTGAGGAAAATGAGTGCGGCAGGAGGACGGAGCGACATTGCCTCACTTTCCTAGCTCTTACTTCCAAACGAATGCGTGTCCCATTAAGTCCTTTTAGAGTAACAAAGTAGAGACCTGGAGCTACATTTTGAGCTATATTAAAAGAAAATTGAGACTGATCTTTTAGGCGCGCCACCATTTTGAAAACTTCAAAACTGACAAACATCGTCTTAAACCGGTCTGATCGAAAAAAGAGTATTCTTACGTGAAAGAGCGTTCAATTTTCTATAAGGTAACTTCAACATTTCATTTTCAAACTTGCCTCTTATGCCCACTAATGACAAGCGAAAAGAGCGCTGCGACGAGAAAGCCCAAAAATTGGGTGGCCCACTTGGCATGGAATGCCCCATATATATATACAGGACCTATTTTAACTTATCCACTAGCGAAGATCTCGAAAACTAAATCCAGTAAACAAAATTGTTTCAAATAAAAATGGAACGGTGTCGAGGGGGACTCGTTTTAGTCACGTTGTTTTTTTTTCTAAGTGGAGGCGCTAAAAAGATATGAAGGTCATCTCCACTTTTTTAAATGGAATTATGTAATTTTTTTTAGTTAACGTGATTCCTCTAATTATTTTGCATAAAGTATTGAGGTAATATTAAAGTATTAAGGTAGAGATACCAAAAAACCAATAGTTTCCGAGATATTTTACACTTTATTTTGATACATATTGACATAAAATGTTAAATAACTCGTAAACTGTTGACTTTTTGATTATCGTACCTTTGTGAACAGAATAATGAGATAAATCAATGGTGTAAAGAAAATACATAGTTGCTTTAAAAAATATATGTATGCAAAATGGATAATTTTTTAAATACGCACGAGTTATTGAACATTTTGTGTCAATATGTACCAAAATAAAATGTAAAATATCTCGTAAACTATTGGTTTTTTGGTATCTCTACCTTAATACTTTTATATGCAAAATAATTAGAGGAATCACATTATCTAAAAAAAAATTACATAATCTATTTAAAAAAGTGGAGGTGATATTTTCATATCTTTTTAGCGCCTCCACTTAGAAAAAAAAACAACGTGACTAAAACGTGTCTCCCTCGACACCGTTCCATTTTTATTTGAAACATTTTTTCGTATTGTCAAAAATAAACGAAATATTCAAGATGAGAGAGAGAGAGAGAGAGAGAGAGAGAGAGAGAGAGAGAGAGAGATCAATTTAAATGGATCACCCTGTATATAAAGTTTTATATGTAATATATACAAAACATGTTTGCAGTAGACAGGTACGTTAAGGAATGTCCAATAATTGATACACGCATACAGTGAGTGCAAAAAGTATTCGTACACCGGAGATTTTTTATACCTTATTTGTTAAAGATAAACAATAATTAGCAATTTATTAATAATACATACGATAGATAGCGTGTCTTTTAACATTATTATAAATAAAGAAATAAAATAATCTAAATATATTGTCTTAATAATAATCAAAACAACAAAATATATTATTTTGTTGCACAAAAAGTATTTAACGGTTAAACATGGTGGTGGTTCCGTGCTTGTTTGGGGGTGTATGAGTGCAGCAGGAATCGACAAATTACATATTATTAAAGGCATAATGGATCATGAAATGTACATCGACATTTTAAAGGAAAATATCCATGTTAGTACCCAAAAATTAGAAATTCATGATAATTATACTTTTCAACACGACAACGATCCTAAGCATACAGCTTATAATACGAAGCAATGGCTATTATTCAATGTACCAAAACAATTGCATACATGGGCAATCACAGGATTTTTTCCAAGAGGGGACATGATACAAAATATAATAATAATAGTAATATTATATAGTTAATAAATTGCCTTTATACCAATGTACAAGTTTAAATACATAGGTTATTATTATTATTTTTTTTTTATGAATAATAGCAATATTAATAATAATATTATTACATATATATAATTTTTAGACTGCGGATATTTATGCAAAAAGATTTAACTGAATATTTTGCATAAAATGCATATTTTGCACAAATCAAACATATTATCTGCATAAAATACATATTTTTCATAAACTTTACATATTTCATGTAATATTCAAGTAGGTATATAGTATGATTACATCATAATTATATGATGAGCGTTGACTCTTAATAGCCTTTATGTTTTTACTCAATTTTTTGTATTGTTTTATTTATATAAATGTTATAAATGTATTTTATGATTTTTTCTTTGTCAACATTACATAATTCATTCACTTTCTACAACTTTTGCTTTGCGCACAATTACCCGACGCGTGATAAATTTTTTCACTTTTCCGTTTTTTCCTTTTTACCAAATACAACCTTATTGAATGAAAATTTGTTCAATATAAATATAAGAATACGTAATGGTAAGAGAATATTTATAGTTTCTGTTTCCCTATTTATATCGCTTTGAACTTAGAAAACCATCCTAGAAATACAAATATCCCTTAGGTGCGCACAATTCGCCCACTTTCCCCTAATGGATCATAAAATGTACATCGACATTTTAAAGGAAAATATCCAATTAGAAATTCATGATAATTATACTTTTCAACATGACAACGATCCTAAGCATACAGCTTATATTACGAAGCAATGGCTATTATTCAATGTACCCAAACAATTGCATACACCTCCACAATCACCGGATCTTAATCCGATTAAACATTTATGGGACATTCTTAAAGATGCTATTAAGAAAAGACACATTTCCAATCGAGACGAGTTAAAAACCGCTCTTCAAGAAGAATGGGAATTTTTTTTCCCTACCATCTTACGAAAACTACATGGAATCGATGCACCGAAGACTACTGGCTGTAAAATCAATGCCAACAGTTATCCTACAAAATATTAAATTAATATATAATATTATCCAAATTAATAAAAAAAATTAATAAAAGTGTACGAATACTTTTTGTGCAATGAAATAATATAATTTCTTCTTTTGTGATAATTATTAGGATAATATATTCAAATTCTTATATATATATTTTTTTATAATAATGTTAAGAAACATATAATCAACTGTATTTGTTACCAATAAATTGCTAATTAATGCTTATCTTCTACAAATAAAGCTTTTTCAATAAAAATCTCCGCTGTACAAATACTTTTTGCACTTATTGTATGTGTGAATGTCCTAATAAATGGACGATTGTCCATAAACGAAATTTTTTTTACAAAAGTATCATTTTTAATATGAATAAATTATATAATACTTAATTTCTAAATAATATGAAAAATTGCTTAAAAATTTATTTAGAGTAACACATATCATCAAAAGCTTAATATTTAAAATTGTCACAATTTGTCCAACAATTGGGTCGTGTCCACGAACTGGTACATTTACCTTATATGCCGAGACTATATTGTTTAGATATAACTTGACCTTTCATATTTTTATTGTTAATATTACTATACATTTCTTTTATATGTTTATTTTTATGAACTAACAAAAACTTTTGATCCAAAATGTATTAATTATACATTAATGTATCACATTTGTCATTTTATAAAGTTCAATGATGACGCTGAAGCTAGCAAACGGGACTAGCAGACGGCCGCGCGCGCGCCGCTCTCGACCAGTGGTTGTCACAAGGTTATCATTTCAGCGTATATTGCGCAAATAAACCGTTCCAAACATATTATTTCAAAAGAAGTGTTATGTGTCACATGAAAACAGTCTTACAAAGTGATATTTCAGGTTCAACAAAAAACATACGAAGAATACTTTTTGCACTCACTGTATGTATCATATACTTTTTAAATTTTATACATTCAAACATTGAGAATGACCCAAGCGAGGTCAAAACGTCTGTTT